TTCAGCAGCCCGGCCCGGCCTAGCCCAGAGATCCCCGGGGAGGTGGCTGCCCCCGCAGCCCGAGAGTGCCGCCGCCCTACTGTGCTCTCTCGCAGGTCGCCTCCTCGGGAGCCAGGGGTCTGGCCATGCTGAGGAGAGGCTGCCGGGTGTCCGCGGGACTCTTCAGGGCCCCCCGCATCGCGCCCGGACTCAGATCTTCCACGGACGCCCTGGTGAGTGAGTTTCCCGCCCCGTTGCGCGAGCAGACTGCTCACCCCGGAGCCCGGAGCCCGGAGCCCGGAGCCGAGGCTGTGCGGGGCACCCCAAGATCGCCTCTCCAGCTCAAGGCCGGAGCCGACAGGCCGGCCCGCGCGGCTGTGAGGGGAGCTGGAGCAGCCCCGAGGTGAGGGGCTGTAGGAGCGTCCTTCGCCAGCTGTGGTCTCACCCCAGCCTGCGGCCGGTGGCTAGCATCAGTTGTCACACTCAAAAGCTTGGCGACCTTAACCATGTTTCCTGAGTTCCCGGTCTGTGCAGTGGGGCTTACACTAGCCCTTACCAGCCTCAGGATGTTTCAACTGCCTTCCGAACAGGATCTGCTGGCTCCCGATGTAGTCCCCAATCCCTCCTCTCTTCTCTTGCTCAGTCACCAACAGAGATCCCCAAGCCGTCTGCAAAGACGATGGGCCTCTCCCCTCATGTTAACGCTCCAGTAACTGAGCCTGAAAAGTCCCAAAACCAGAGGTAAAACCCACCTGGAAGTCCCACGGCCTCCAGGACATCGACCTGTCCCCTGATTTCTCTTTGCCAGGTCTCCAGATTCTGCCCAGAGAAGACAGACTTGAAGGATTATGCCCTTCCCAATGCCAGCTGGTGTCCAGACATGCTCAGCCTGTACCAGGAGTTTCTGGAAAAGACCAACTCCAGAAGCTGGATCAAACTGCCCTCCTTCAAGTCCAACAGAGACCACATCCAAGGGCTGAAACTCCCATCCGGCTTGGTGGCTGCCACAGGTAAGGCTGGGCCCGGGAGATGCCGTGGGAGCACATGCACCCCAGCCCACAGTGACGGGACCCTGCCTGGGACCCTCAGCCAGCCCCCTGTCCCTGTGTTTGAAGACTCTTGGGAAGGAAATTCACAAGCCCCCTTCTAGTTCTCAGCCCAGAAGCTCTTCCTGCTGTCTCCCTCCACCTTCTGCTGTAACCGGGGAAGTGGATGGAAAGGATCTTACTTCACGGGCTCCCTTCCTCCCATCCGACCAGGGCGCACCCTAGAGGGCACCTTTGCTGTGCTGAGTGCCGCCCCGCCCCGCTGGAGCTGGAGAACTTCTGGCTCAGCACCCCAACTGTCTGCTTCTCCCCAGCAGCACTCCCCTCACAGCCGAGCCTTCCCCTCAGCCCTCCTCCCTAACCCCAGCAAAGCCCTCAGACCCCACACACCCCCAATAGCAGACCTCAGCCCAGAGCAGCACTCTGCAACGCCCCCTGGATCTGAGGGGCACCTTGTTCCTTGTGTGTGTGTGTGTGTGTGTGTGTGTGTGTGTGTGTGTCTGTCTGTCTGTCTGTCTGTCTGTCTGCCTGTCTGTCTCATTTTTATACATGATTCCTGCCCAGCGATGAATGGGTTTTGAACTGGCAGGAGACTCTTGGGTTATGCCACAAAGCAGGGACATCAAAATAATATCTTTTAAGAGTTTGATATTTCCCAAAAAAGAATATAGTTGTAATTGTCTTGGGAGATTGGAACTCCAGGGGACTTTTCCACCTCATTTTGCTATCTTGTACTGTTGTCTTTCATTGCATGTGGCTACTCGAGTGATCACATTGTTAATTTTCAATGCTTAGCGTGTTGTAATCCTCGATCTGGCTCTGATCCTGACTCCACCCCGAGCCAGGGAACTTCGAGAGAGTTTGTCCCGAGACACAGCCTCTCTCTGAAGGCAGGGACTGCATCTGCTCCAGCTGGAGGGCTCCCTGCGAGAGACCCGGGTGTCCTTGGTTCTCTCTCTGGCCCCTGGTGCTGACCCCAGCAACCTCACACCCTCCTCCTCCAGCTGTGACCCTGCCCGTCTCTCTCCCCAGACAAAGGTGACTGGCGCATCTTTACCAGGTGCATCCCAGTGGCAGGACAAGGCTACGAGTACGTCATCTTTTTCCACCCAGCCGAGAAGAAGTCGGTCTGTCTTTTCCAACCAGGCCCTTACCTGGAGGGGGCTCCAGGGTAAGGCCACAGGTGGGGCCAGAGGGGGGTCCCCAGCTTGGCTCAGCAGGATGGGCTCAGCCCTGAAGGCTGCACCTCTCTTGGGAGCCAGGAAGTGGGTGCGAGGAACTGGGCCCCAGCTCCACAGTGCTGGGCCTGGAAGGACACACTGGGGTGACTACCTGGCCCAATCCCACCATCAATTAGAGAGCTCCCTTACCCAGGACTCAGAATTTTCTATCCACAAAGGACCTTGAGGAGGATGTGATGCTTTTGGAAGAGGGCAAGATCTGGAACCAAGAGCCTGACTTCTGGTCCTGCTTCACGGTTGCAGATAATCAGTATGACATGTGGTTTCTAGTCCTCTTACTTGAAACATAGGCCAGTAATATCTGCCTGCCAGGGTGACTGACAGACACGATACTGGGGACCCACGCGGGTGTCCTCATGAGCCGCAGAGCACCTAGCAGGCACCACCTCTCCAAACCCCAAGTTCTGCCCATGGAGAAACAGATGCATGGAGGTAAAGAAACTTGCTCAAGTCACACCCAGGACTCTAGGAAATGGACTCTGAGTGCAGTGCTCTCTCTACTCTGCTGCCTCATAGTTGGGATAAACCTAGGGAGAGACCCATGCTGGGCATATATCTGGCTGGCCTTGGGCCTCTTGTCTAAGGCCACTGGGCGATTGTCCGCCTTCTCTCCTGTGCCTGTTTCCTTCCAGTCACAGAAGGTAGTTGGAGGCGCAGGAGTTCCTAGAGGACCAGATCCAGGGTCCTGAGGCCTGAGAGCAGCTGCACTGGGGTTAAGCAGAACTGAGAGTGAAAAATAGTTGTAATCGTCTGCACGGACTGCAGCCCTCTTCCCCTTGACCACTCCAAAGGTGTCCTCCCCGGGGACACTGGGAGAGTAGCTCTCACCCGCCCTGGGCCATAGGTCCCTCCCTTCTGGAGAGGAGAACCCTGAGGAGGTGGGACCAGGGCTGCTGCTGGCTGAGTGTTAGGGGCTTGTGGAGGTGATGCCAATGAGGCCGTGGAGACTATCCCCACCCCCGCCAGGCAGTGAACTGAGGAGCAGCCAGCAAAAAAGTAAAGTCACCAGGCCCTGAGTGCCGGAAGGTTCTGCCAAACCTGTACTTGCCAATGGGTCCCTTTCCTCAGCAGTGAGGATGAGGAGGGATGAACACGCCTGGAGTCCTTTGACACCACCTCCTTTTGCCTCTTCCAGTCAATTTGGGAGGTGAGGAGCACTGTCCATTTTTATTCATAATTCACAATTCACAGTTCATAGTAGAAAAACTAAGCCAGGTGTGGGGGTGCACGCCTGTAATCCTGGCACTCTGGGAGGCTGAGGCAAGAGAATCATACATTTAAGCCCAGCCTGGACAATTTAGTAACTTAGTAAGATCCTTCCTGTAAATTTGGGGTTTTTTTGGGGGGTGGTTGTTTTTTTTTGAGATAGGGTCTCTCTTATGCAGTTCTTGCTGGCCTTGAACTCACTGTAGCCCAGGCTGGCCTCAAACTCATGGCGATCCTCCTGCCTCAGCCTCCCAAATGCTGGGATCACAGGTATGCACCACCACACCCAGCCTAGTAAGATCCATTTTAAAGGTCCTTCGGGTGTAGTTTAGTGTAAAGGTCCTGCAAAAGGAGAAGGGGAAGGGGAAGAGGAAGAGGAAGAGGAAGAGGAAGAGGAAGAAGAGGAGGAGGAGATAAAAGAAGAACTAAAGCTTGGACAGGTTTAGTGGCTCACTCAGAATCAAACAGGTGGAGCAAGGACTCCAGCAAGGCAGTGCGATGCCATGGTCCTCAGCAATGTCCACCGAAGGAAGGGAACACAAGGTTGGTGGCAGGAAGAAGACAGCAGCCTAGAGCAGGGTCTGTGGAGAGTTACAGTCCCACTTTCAAAAATCAAGAGCTTGGGCCAGGGATTTGGCTCAGTGGTTCCACTACCTTCCTCGCCAGCACAAGGACCCAAGTTCGATCTAAAAAAAAAAAAAAAATCGGGAGCTCACATCAGATGTGATGGTGCACACCTGTAATCCCAGGATTTTCGAGGCTGAGGCAGGAGAATTGTGTGTTTCAGACCAGCTTAGGCTCTTTAGCAAGTTCAGGGTCTCAAATCTGCCTTGTGTCGTTTGCGTTCTGAAGTTAGGTGCCCCTCTGTTTCCCCAATTTAAACAACAGTGGAGTGGCTTTGACACGAGGCAGCCCGTGTAAAACGAGAATGTGGGTTTCACGAGTGTTAAAGAAAGCACCGTCTGCAGCGTCCTGCCAATCCATGGGCAGCGCGGGCCAGAAGTGGGTTTCTTTATCCGTTGTAAGTTCCATCTCACATCTGCCTGCCTCGAAAACGCGGGCCCAGCACTGGCTGTAGTGACTGGGTAGGCAGGAGGAGGTGGCCCAAGAAACACTTCCTTTCAAAGGGCAGGTCAGTGAAGTTCCTTCATCCACGCACACGTCCAAATGACAGCAACTGTTGTGAGCAATTAGGTGATAAACCAGGAAGATGTTTTCCATTAACTCTATGAGAAAAAATGTTTTTCCCGGAGAAATGAAGTACTTGTGTCCGTGGTTACTAACACATGCTGAGGCAGAACAGAGGAAAAGCTCCATGATTTTTTGTTGATCCCCTGGATGCAGCTCTGTCTTTTCCTGTTCAGCCGCCTGAGGCTGAAGATTCTGGGGCAGGCGGAAGGCTCTGGGGAGGGGAGGAGCAGAGGTGTCGCAGCCCAGCAGCCCCAGCCTGGACTCGCTGTTGACCTCAGGTTCGCCCACGGAGGGTCTCTGGCCGCGATGATGGACGAGACCTTTTCTAAAACTGCCTACCTGGCTGGGGAGGGGCTGTTCACGCTAAGCCTCAACATCAGGTTCAAAAAGTAAGTATGGATCCCTGCGGCGTGGGCCGAAGTCCTGGCCTTTCCGTCCTTGCCTTTCCGTCCTTGCCAGCTGGGTTATGGAAGCCCCGCCTGCCGCTCTCCTCCCCTGCGCAGCCCCAAACACTCTTGCCCCTGTGCAGACGACAGCCTTTGCTGCCCCACTTTGGGACCAACACACAGCTCCTGAGATCAGGCCACTGAGGGGTCCCCAAGGCAGGTGGGGTGCAAGGAGGGGTGCAGGGGACTGAGCAGATGGGGGATGAGTTACCGCTGCTCCCCCAGCCTGATCCCCGTGGGGTCTCTGGCCGTCCTGAACGTCCAAGTGGAGAAGATCGAGGACCAGAAGCTCTACATGTCCTGTGTCGCCCAGAGCAGAGACCAGCAGACAGTCTTTGCCAAGTCCTCAGGTAAAGACGTCCTCAGCCTCGCCCAACCCACCCCAGGACCAATGGAAGGGAGGGAGAGTGCTAAGGATACAGTCCCAAGTGGGGGCCCAGCTTCCTGTTTTGTTTGTTTTATTTATTTTATTTTATTTCATTTATTTTTGGTACCAGAAATCGAATTCAGGGCCTTTCACTTGCTAGGCAGGTGCTGCACCGCTGACCCTACATCCCCTGCCAGTTTTGTTTTGTTGAAACAAAGTCTCACTGTGTAGTTCAGGCTGGCCTGGAACTCTCTATGTAGCCCAGGCTGGCCTCACACTCACAGCAATCCCCCTGCCTCAGCCTCCCAAGTGCTAGGATTACAGGTGTGCACCACCACGTCCAGCTTGGGGGCCTTTCTAAGGGGTAGGGTTTTGCACATGCTAGAGACATAGGTGAAGGGAAGAACTCAGCTGGAATTTTTGTTAAGTAGGAGTTACGCAGCCCGTACCACAGGACAGTTCTGGGTAGCGGTTAATTTGGAGCAAAAATGTTCACAGCACCTCAGCAAGCTCCTGCCCTCGTTGCCTGGGCTCTCAACACCCAGGCCATCCTACTCTTGCAGGTGTCTTCCTTCAGCTGCAGCTAGAAGAGTCATCCCAGTAGTTGTCACCATGCCTTAGTCAGAGACAACCCCGATGGCCCTGTCTGTCTGGAGCCCACCACAAGCAAGAGGGTCCCCTGGGAAGCAAGTTCAGAGGCTGATGAGAGGCCCCCTCTCTGCTTAAATAAACTTTCGTTGCCCCCTGCTCTACCTTCTGTAGTTGGAAACCATATTCTTTCCAGGGCCTCCCACACACCACCTGCCCATTCCGTACCAACGGGGAAGAGTTACTGAGCCCCTGTCAGGCTCTGGGTGAGGCTTCTGGCCTGCAGCAATCAAAGAGCAGAACTGGAGGCCACAGAGGGGCCTGACAAAGCTCCCCACCCGCCCCAACTCGTATCAGCACAGTGTAGGCCCAAAGGGACGCGGGTCCATTTTACTCTCTGAACAGTCAGGAGAGACTTTCTAGAGGAGGCTGTGCCTGGGCTGGGTCTCAGAAGTTCAGCGGTGCTCACCGGGATGTCTAGGATGACGCCAGGCTGCTGCCCTCGGGGGCCTGGACCGGAGGCTCCTGGCTTGAGGGTTTCAGGTGGTGGCACTGGGAAAGCAAAAAGAGCAGGTGTGAAGTAGAGATGGAGTCAGAGCTCAGGTTTACAGGGGCTGAACTTGAAGTGCCCATGGGCTCCCGTCACGGAGGACGCAGCGGCAGAACCCTGGACTCTGTGACTAGGTGCTCAGGAGGGAAGAGCTCCTGACTCCATTTGTGAGCCGGTGTAAAAACTGACATGGCACCTCTGAGAGTGAAGGAGAAGAGGGTGCCGAGGGGGTGACAGTGAAGGCAGGACAGAGGAGGAAAGGACTCAAAGATAAAGCCTTAGGCCACACTGACATTTCTAGTCGGGGCAGAAGATCAAGGACCCAGTAAGGAAGGGGCCCGAGATCAGAACCAGAGCGACTGCCCCTGAGGGGATGAGTGAGGGCTTTGTGTCAAAGGCAGAAGAGAAAGCAAGGAAGGTGACAACTAAAAAAGAGGACTTTGGATTTGGCAGAGGACGGAGGAGGATGCAGTCTCCAGAGCAAGTTAGGGAGGGGGAGTAAAATCTAACAAATAATGAATGAAAAAATGAATGGGGACCAGGCATGGTGGTGCACACCTGTAATCCCAGCACTCGGGAGGCTGAGGCAGGAGGATCGCTGTGAGTTCGAGACCAGCCTGGGCTACACAGTGAGTTCCAGGTCAGTCGCAACTATGTAGTGAGACCCTGTCTCAAAAAACAAAACAAACAAAAAAGAATGAGGAATGAAGAAAAGTAGGGATCTTCAGTGGCAACGACTTGGGCTAGAGGAAGGGAGAGCCAGCCAGCAAAATCCAGACATACGGTGGGCGAGCCGGGACACTGAGGACAGTGGTAGAACAGGACAGACAGCGGCACAGCTGGTGCACACTGCTAAGGAGGAGGGGTTTGCCACGAGGGAGAACAACGGCGTAGGGAAACAATGGCCTCCTCGGGACCTGGGAGGACGGGGTGGGAAACTGAGCAGCTGCCACCGGGAGGATTGCAGGAGAAGAGGGTCCTGTCCTGTGACGGCCGGAATTGCGCGAGACCAGCAGATGGAGAAGATGTTGAGGAAGAGATCAACGTTAAAAAGTTCTGCGAGAATGAGAGCTTCCAGGGCCATATCGTAAAGGATTTTATTGTCTGGTTTGTCCAAGTCAAATGTTGAAACAGATAAGCCTTTACATCTCCATAGCTTAAGGCTATGAGTAGAATGCACTTCTCGTGCGTAGAATGCACCTCTCGTGCAGGTCAAGTCCCGTCTGTGGTTCCCCGGAGTCATTCAGGAACTTGACTGACAAAAGCTCTGCCATCTCCACTTCCAAAGTTGAGCGTTGGCACCTAGCTGCCTGGTAAAACCAGACTGAACCCGCGGGTCGCGCCGGCCGTGGGTCTGACGAGTGCGGTGTCACGATTTAGGTCTAGATGTCCCCAAAACCTTGTGTGCTCCTGGGTGGAGCTTCTGGGAGGCTGATGCACCGCGGCAGTGCTATCGTTGGGGTCGAGAAGAGGAGGCTCGCTGTGGGCGTGACCTGGAGGATGAGCCTCCTGTCCAGCCTCCTCCTTTGACGGCTTCCTGTCTGCCCTGCCACCAACGCCTCTCCTCCTCCAAGTACCGTTGCCATGCTGTTTCTTCTTTGAAGGCAGCTGACCCTCTGAAACATGAGCCAAAATAAACCTCTCCTCCTTTCCGTTGCGGCGATCAGGTATTTTGTCCCAGCACCAAAGAAAGTGACTGAGACAGAAATTATTCCTGTTTATATCTAGATTTCCCCCCAAAGCCTCATGTGCTCATAGGTGAGATTTGGGGGACTTGGGTGGGTCGTAGGTGTGTGATATTTATCGCTGGATTCGTCACTGGATGTGACATTGGGAGCTGAAACCGAGTGAGGACAGGAGGGTCACTGTGGATGTGACTTCGAAGGCACCCATCCCTCCTCCACCTGTGATCGCTCACTGCTTCCTGCCTGGCAGGCCAGGGACTGTTTCTCCTCTGCGATGCCCCTCTGCCCTTGTGCCCTGCTTTGGAACAAACCAACTATGGACCGAAACCTCTACAAACTGTGACCCAAAACAAATCTTCCCTCCATTAAGTTGTGGGCGTTGGGTATTGTGTCTTAGCAACAAGAAAAGTAACTAAAACAGAGGTGTTTTGGGGCCTAATCTCAAAGCGGTTCCATCGGCCAAAATTCAGTCACAAGGCCAACATGAAGCAGTAAAGTAAGACCACATTTTATTTTATTTTATTTTTGAGACAGGGTCTCACTACGTAGTAGAGACTGACCTGGAACTCACTGTGTAACCCAGGCGGGTCTCGAACTCACAGCAATCCTCCTGACTCAGCCTCCCAAGTGCTGGGATTACAGGCGTGTGCCACCACACCAGGCTAGACCACATTTTAAAGAAGAAAGGAAATGGGTTTAGTGGGCATCAAGCAGCAGCCCCTGCCTCAGTTTGAGAGGAAGGCCAGTTCAAGAAGGAAGATGATCTGACCTAACTCATCCTAGTGAGCGAAGGACTTGGCTTCAACACTAGGGTGGGGTTCTGGGATCTGGGCTGGGATTAGGAATTCAAGGGATCAGAAAACATGAACCCTTTTGTGGCACAGAACAGGGCCAAGGAGTTGTGCACAAATTCAGCAGGACTGGTAAAGGAGGTGGATCTCTTCAGTAACTATACCACATTCTTCTAAGAAATCAACCACAAACGATGGGCAAAGATGGTATATGTCGTGGGTTAGACCTACAATGTCCCCCCAACGCTCATGTGCTCAGAAGTGGGGCCTTAGGAAGGTGACTGGGTCGTGAGGGTGCTCTGATTAATTAATTCAGAAGCTGAACTCAGAGCCGAATATGCTTGGAGGAGGTGGGTCCTGGTTGAGCGCTGGGTCCCTGGGGATGTGACCTGGAAGTGCCTCTTTCTCTCCAGCTCTTCCCTTCCCTTTTGGCTTCCTGGCCACTGTGATTTGAGCATCTTTCCTCTATCAGACCTTTCTACTTTCCCTTCCTGCCTTGAAACTAGCTGACTATGGACTAAATCTAAAAACTATGAGCCAAAACATTTCCAGCAAGGACAGAGTGACTAAAACAGTAGAAGTGAATGTGAATCAGAGTCCCCCCAAAGCTGGAAATGTTTTGGAAGCCACAGCCAGAAGTCTTGTGACAATCAATTGTCCTCTCTTTCACAGACTTTCAGAACTCTTTTCTCCTTCGTGCTTTTGCAGTTGTCCTCGATAATCTGTTACACCCAGAGTCTAAATCATTGCATACTAAAAACAAACAAACAAAAAACTGCCCTTCATTCATGGTCAGGGAGAAGCTAATCTTCAGTCCAACACTCCCAGAAGAAGGGAAATGTAGTTCATCCTTCCTATACAATTAAAAAAGAAAGACAAGCAACATAGTTGTGTTTGAGTTTCCATGTTACAATAGGTTGAATGCACCCTGGTACTTTTCTGCAGGGGCCAGTTTCTAACAGAAATCAGCTCAGCATGGCAAAATCTGCAGAGTGGTGGCCTCTCGGGCCAGGAGGGTCAGCCTTGCTTGGACAAGGCCGGCTGAGCAGGCAGGGTCTGGAAAGGAAACAGAGCCATAAGCTGCTGGGACACTTCTCTGATGTCTGGGCCTCTGACAGATGCCTCTCCTCTCCCAGGAGGCCAAGTATTCCAGCTCTCTGGGTGGAACAAAGGGAGACGCTACCTCCACACTTACAGCCTCGTTCCCATGTGTAGTGCCTTGATCTGGAGCCCAGCTACTGTGCAGGTAGGTGGGATGGAATCCAGAAAGCCGTGCAGGCAAGCGGGGGCAGTTATTCTGCTGGAAGATGCCTGTGTCAAGTACCAAGAGTACAAAGGATCAAAGGATGTGATAAAGGTTTAAACTAGGCACAAAGAAAGAAAGAAACCTTATTGCAGTAAAAGACACGTTGCCAAGAATGATGGTATAAGTGTGTTTGAAATGAGAATTTTGAGTATTTATAGGGAGTGGATGGCAATATATCTTTTACTGTAATATATTTTTAAATGTAAAATTTCACCGTATTTTTTAATCAGATGTGATGGTGCACACTTAGAATCCCAGCACTCGGGAGGGTGAGGCAAGAGGATTGCTACAAGTTCAAGGCCAGTCTGGGCTACATAGTGAGTTCAGGGCTAGACTGGACTGCATACCCCATCTTAAAGCAAAACCAAACCAAACCACTGTATTTTATGATCATCGCTCATTGATCAAATGTTTACAGCAATCTGTATCATTAAAATGTTGTAGCGTGCCCCTTACCCATCTAATTTACCAGATCTGGCACCCTGCAACTTCGGGCTCTCTCCTAACGTCAAAATGACTGTGAAAGGTAAATGTTTCAATCAATTAGGCACCAGGGAAGCCACAACAGTACAACTAAAGACACAAACAAGGACTTCCAGGGCTGCTTCAGAAAGTGGCATGAACTGCTGGGGCTATAGCTCAGTGGTAGACCAGTTGCCCAGCCCACGTGAGGCCCTGGGTTCAATCCTCAGCACCACATTAAAAAAAAGAAAAGAGCCAAGAATGATGGATTAAGTATGTTTGAAGCCAGGGGGCAATATTTTGAGGGGGATTGATGGTAACGTGTCTTTTAGTACAATAAATTTTTTAAAATTTAAACATTCAC